CACCTGGGCAACTTGGTGAGACCTTATCTCTACAATAAATCAAAAATTAGCCGGGTGTGGCAGCGCGTGCCTGTAGTTCCAGCTACTTGGAAGGCTGAGTCAGAAGGGTCACGGAGCCCAGCAGGTCGAGGCTGCGGTGGCCAGGAGAGGCCACTGCACTCCAGTCTGGGTGATGGAGTGAGACTCCAACTCAAAAAATAAAAATAAAAAAATAACAACTCAATTAAAAAACAGACAAAGCATCTAACTTGACATTTCTCTAAAGCGGACATACAAATGGCCAATGCGGCAAACTCGCCTGCATAACTTGGGGTAGTGAGGGACGGCATTCATGCCTTCCCCTGGTTTAAAAAATAAAGGATGTGAAAATAAAATAACACTGTTACCAGGAAAACGCAAATCTAAACCACAAAGCGATACCACTCCACATCCACTAGGAAGGGTATAAGAAGAGAGATTTTTCAAGAGTTGGCAAGGAAGTGAAGAAATTGGAACCCTCATAGATTGTTGGTGGTTGTGTAAAGTGGTATGACCACTTTGGAAGATGGACTGGCATTTCTCAACAGGTTAAATATATGACCCAGTAATTCCACTCCTAGGTGCTAGCCAAGAGAAATGAAAACGTATGTCCACACAAAAACTTATAAACAAACGGTCATATAGTGGCATTATTTATAATAGCCCAAATGTGGAAACAACCCAAATGTCCCTCAACTGATAATGAATAAACAAACTGTAGTCTAGCCACACAACAGAATATTTTTCAGTCATTAAAGAGGAATGAATTGGCTGGGCGCGGTGGCTCAAGCCTGTAATCCGAGCACTTTGGGAGGCCGAGGCGAGAGGACTGCCCGAGTCCAAGGGTTCAAGACCAGCCTAGGCAACTTGGTGAGACCTCGTCTCTATAATAAAACAAAAAACTAGGTGGGTATGGTAGCATGCGCCTACAGTTCCAGCTCCTTGGAAGGATCCCCTGAGCCCACAGGTCAAGACTGCGGTGACCGTGAGCGTGCCACTGTACTCCAGCCTGGGTGACAGAGTAAAACTCTGAGTCCAGAAAAAAAAAAAAGGAATAAATGACATATACATGCTACAGCACGAATGAACCCTGTTACACGAAGTTAAAGAAGCCAGACAATAAAAGCTACATATTGTATGATTCCATGGACAGGAAACCTCCAGATAAGGCAAATCCAGAGACAGAAAATAATCAGTGGTTGTCTAAGGCTGTGGGGTTTGGAGGTAAATGAGGAGTGAGACTAATGGGCACAGGGTTTCTTCTAAGCCAGTAAAAGCCTTCTAAAGTGAATTGTGGTGATGGCTGCACAACTCTGCCCACACCCAAACCACTGAATTGTATACTTTGTATGGGTGAATCATATGGTATATGAATTATGCATGAGTTGCATCTCAATAAAGCTGCAATATTTTTCAAGCAAAGATCTCCAAGAAGGCTTCAAGCAGCAGTTCTGTGAGCCGTGCTCGGTACAGCAGGCCAGCTGACAGGTGTGGAGTCTGTCAGACCTGAGCTCCTGATCAGCACTAGCACTGACCAGGCAGGTGCTGCAGCCGGGCCAGAGAGCCAAACCTTCTCCACGGGCCTGCATCTTCAAGACAGGAAAACAGCAGCAGTTCCCTCCCCGGCTGGCTGTGAGTGTAACGCACAGTAGCTCCCATCAACTCCTCAGCCTGAAAGCGAGTCTGCAGAGCAGCATGCTTGGCTGGAGTCCCTGCTTCCGGGACTCTGCTCTGCTGTGTCTCAGGGGACGGAACCCAAGAGGCAGGGCAGAGACTGGAGTGCCTCAGACAGCAGATGCAAGGAACAGGGTACCTGGAGAGGAAACAGGCACTCCTTCTAGAACCCCGCGGCAGAAAATCACCAGAGTCACCTGCTGACTTTGGTCTTTGCTTTCACCCAGGCCCCTGGAAGCGGCAGCTGCGTTCCCCTTTCCGGCGGCTTCTTCTACTCGCTCCTCACACTGCTCCTTCACCGCCTTCATCTGACTGAGGCACTGGCTCCTTTGGCGACAGAAACAAAGGAAGGACACCTGTGAACGCCTCTCTGCTGGGCCAGGAAAGGCACTTCAGTAAGAGACACCGACCACCGCTCTCCTGCTTGAAGCGCCATATCTGAAGAGGGTACTTGGGACAGGGCTGCGTGGGCATCTTCAACTATTAACTGATCAGGAAACTGCGGTTAACTGAAACGCACGAAAACTGTGTCACACTGTTCTGAAAAGGGTGAACTTTATCGATTAGAAAAAAATGTGTTTAACATACAATCTGCAAAATAATTTTAAAAATTGGTCTTTGTCCCTGACTCCTGGCACAGAGCTCCTCAAACCCTTGGAATTTCCTGAGTGGCAGGAGTGTCTTTTTTTGTTATGCACAAAAAGCCCCTCTGAACAAGACTTGCATTTATGCGGATGAGGTGACTCTTGGGGATAGGAAGGACGGTGTCGGATGGTTTCAGGACTGGGGCTGGTGGCCAGAAGAGCCGGACACATGGCTATGGGGTGGGGACGTTAGCCATCCACTCCGGGGAGAGGAGGGCACTGGAGGCTGAATTCACCCCATGGCCAGTGCTTTGATCAGTCATACCCGCACCATGAAACTCAGACAAAAACTCCGGACCACAAGGCTCGGGAAGCTTCCTGGTGGGCGAAAGCGATGATGCACTGGAAGGGGCCCACCCTGACTCCACAGGGACAGAGCTCCCATCTCCCCCCAAGCCCCCAGTCCTTATGAGCATCTACCACTTGGTGTGCCATAACAGCTAATGCAGCTTTCTGGAATTTTGTCAGTCATTATGGCCAATTATCAAACCTGAAGGTATGGCAGGTACCCCCAAATTTGTAGCCAGCTGGGCAGAAGTGAAGGCGGCTGGAGAACACTGAGAGGCTGGTCTCAGGGGTGGGACCAGTCTGGTAAGATGGTGCCCCTCAACCTGTGCGCTAACTCTGGGTAGCATCAAAATCAAATTCAATTGAAGGATAACCGACTGTCAAAGAACTGTTGGGACGTACTGTGAGACATGGCTTCAGCTTTTGGTCTGGAATTTAAGAGTACTTCAGTAAGTGTCAGAGCTATAAAGTGACTGAGATAATTACCCATTTTTTTTGCAAACAAAGGTACCTGCATAATGAACATTTGTATGCCTAACCCTGAATGGTACCCTACATCTTGAAAATTAAAAAAAAAGAAGTGGGGCTCGGTGGCTCAGCCTGTAATCCCGCGCCTTTAGGAGGCTGAGGTGAGTGGATTGACTGAGCCTGCGGGTTCGAGACCCACCTGGGCAACTTG